CTGAACCTGAAGGGTGAACTAAGTAACATCTTTCTTTATATTAAATAAAGTGGGTTTTAGTTTTCTATGAAGGTTAGCCATTAAGGAGTTCCCCTTGTCACGTATTATGGTGGGGTCACACTCAGCCTCCAATCTCTTCAGTTGCCCTACCTGGCACCAGAAAGGTAGATCCAAAGAACACTGAAGACGAGAGCAATAAGTACCAGGAAGTTTCCACCATCTGCCGGCAAACCAAGGGAGACAATCGGGGGGTTCTTTTGCCTAAATAAACCAAACCCTACATGAAATTGGGTCTGCAAATGAGTATGTCGACAGTCAGGTTATTTCAGTGAGTTTGTGAAGTGGGGAAGCTTTTAAAAAAATAAAGTGATTCTACCTACTGAGGAAATATTAAATGCTGTCCCTTGGTGAATTTAAGAGAAATGTGAAAATTTAAAAAAAAAAACTTTTCTTTCTAATAATAATCTATTTTGGTGTATTGAAGGCATTCTTGAACTTAGCATATCCAGAAAATAATTCATATTTTGCACTAAATTCATTCACCCTCCAAACTTCCTCATTTATATTGGGGGCACCACTATTCTTCCAGGTAGTTGAATTCTCAATGTTGTATTAATCCTTGGTACTTTTCTCTTACTTGAATTCTCCACAGTCACTAAGACTTGTCAATTCTATATCAGTCAGCCAACTAACATTTATTAAGCTCCTCCTATGCATCAGGCACCATGCTAGGCACTGGGGATACCAAGAAAGACAAAAGACAGTCCTGCTCTCAAAGAGCTCATAGTCCAATGGGGAAGGCAATATGCAAATGACTATGTACAAACAAGATATATGCAGGATAAATTGGAAATAATCAATGGAAGGAAGACAGTAGAATAAAACAAAGCAGGAAAGGCTTCCTATAGAAGATGGGGTTTTAGCTAGGACTTGAAGACAACCAGGGAAGCCAGGAAATGGAGATGAAGAAGGAGAGCATTCCATGCATGGAGGACAGCCAGTGGAAATGCCTCACATCAGATGGAGTTTCTTGTTCAAGGAACAGCAAGGAAGCCAGTGTCACTGGATCACAAAGTAGGTGGATAGTGTAAGGTACAAAAAGACTAGAAAGATGGGAATGGGGTTATGAAGGACTTTGAATACCAAAAAGAGGATTTTATATTGGAAGCAATGGGAAGCCACTGGAGCTTATTGAGCTGGGGTGTTGGGGGGGGGATGTGACATGGTCAGTACTTCACTTTAGGAAGATCACTTTGACAGCATAAAGGAGGATGGACTAGAATGGGAAGGGACTTATGGCAGGCGGGCCAACCAGCAGGCTATAGCAATAGTCCAGATGTAAGGTGGTAAAGACCTGAAGCAGAGTGGTAGCAATGTCAAAGGAAAGAAGGGAGTATACATGAGACACGTTAAGAGAAAAATTGATAGTTCTTGGCAACAAATTGGATTGGGGGAGGGTGAGAGATAGTGAGGAGTCGAAGATGACATCTTGAGATTGCAAGCCTAGCTGACTGAGATGATGTCCTCAAAAGCAATAGGGAAGTCAGGAAAAAAGGAGAATCAGGAGGCAGCAGAAGATAGTGAGTTCCATTTTAGACATATTGAGTTTAATGTCGATTTAATGTCTAGGAGATATCAAGATATCTGAAAAACAGTTGGAGATATGAGTGAAGGTCAGCAGAGAGGTTAGGGCTGGATAAGCAGATTTAAGAATCATTAGCCTAGAGATTATAATTGAATCCATGGGAGCTGATGAGATCAGGAAATGAAATAATAGAGGGAGAAAAGGACATTACTGATAGTGAGATTGCATACACTCTCCTAGATCTTGGTCATCTGCAAATTCAAAAATCAAGCGTATCCTGTAAATACAACCTATTTTCTTTCTTTCCAAAACAATTAAAGTAAGTTGTGAAGGAGAAATAGAGCGCATTTAAACAAATTTCTGTCTTGTTTCTTAGAATCCTTCAGCAAAAATCCTTACCAAGTTGTTAATGTGTCTCTATCTTTCTTGTATAATCCTCAGTAACATGGCAGCTTTAGAGACAGTTTGCTTTTTAAACATTGCCTTTGACTCTTATAAAACCACCTGTAATAATTGATTGTGTTGTATGTACTTAGAGCTCTTTGGAGGAAAGAGTGTTCAGAAATTTAAAATGAAACTTTTAGTTCCATTGGAATTTTACCACCTGGCATAATTGTAAGCCTCTGTGGTTTTAAAAAAGGTTCAAGAGACATAGTTTAATCATTTTATTAATAAAACCAACAGGTTATTAATAAAATGATGGTCATTTGGCCCTCTCTCTTAGACCAAAAATAATCATGGTGGCAGGCAGGACTCACAGTTTATATACCTTTCAAAACAGTAGGTGGTCCATCAAACAGCAATCAAATCTAATTGGTTAATGTGATTAGAGGTGGGTTATATTAAAATAAAGGGCTGGGTATCTCTTGGATAGGGAAAATATTTCTATATCAGACCACTCCCAGTCTTGGGCTATCTAGATTCTAGACCAAAGGATTGGCCTCCTTCCAAGCTTGAGTAGAACACAATGGGATTCCCCCCAACCGCCACCTCTAGATTAAATTCCTTGCAAGGTTGGTGGAGTCTGACCAAGATCTAGGAGAGTATATGCAATCTCATTATCAGTAATGTCCTTCAAGAAAAACAGGACCTTTTAAAATGAGGAATTTAGAAAAAGGGGAGAACCTCTGAATCTTCCCAAGATATTGTTAGTAATAATCATTTCTCATACCTCTGAAGTAGGCTTTCAACCTACACATATTCCTGCTAGGATAATGACAATAGTAATACTAATAACAACTAGCAATAGTTAAATAGTTATTTTGATAGGAGGAAGTGGTTCAATTTTTAGAAACCAAGAATGTACATTGGCCCCAGAAGTTGTTTTTTTTTTTTTCTGATACTTCGTGCTGTCAAATTCTACAACAGGAAATGTGTTCTTTGATCCCACAGATGAAACAGTTCAGCAACAACATATATTCACATGTCAATAAAAATGACTGCCCTTCACTTAAAATGTTAAATTCCTCTAAAAGACTTTTAAAGAAAATACTTAAAATTTTTGTTGATCTGGAAACCTCCATTTAATTGCAAAACTATTAAAATTAAAATGTGCTCTCTTCATTTGCATGCCAGAAAAGTGTTCAGGGCTGCATAATCCTATTCATTTTATCATATGCCATATTCTTTATTTCAAAGACAACATGCATTTGACACTTGTTAAAGGTCATAAGAATATTTCTCACTGTGATTTCAGATATTAGAAGATCTCTGGGCTTAGCAACATAAACTTATCAAATGTCATTGTTCATCCTTCATTTTCGAAGAGGACCAATGACATCATGTTGATGTCTTGACTTGCACGTGAACTGGATTTAACTAAAAAAGAGTTGTGCGAAGTCATCAGCCTCACTCTCTCTTCCTGAATCATTGAAGTCCAGTGGCAAGACAAAAGCCAGGATAATTGGTGATGCCCAGGCTGCAGTGGATGACCTTGGCATCTTTGATGCCTGACTAAGCTCTAAGCCTCCACAGCACATGCTTCAGTGGCCTTCATGGCTGTTGGAACAAATTGTTCTCATCTGCCCATTTTACTAGGGAAAGTCTTCATATGCTTGGGATAGATATCCCCCTAACTCACTGATGGGTTTCAGGCCCATCAGTTACCCTCAACTCGGTTTAGCCCATCTGCCACACGGTTTTACCAGTGTGTGCCCGTTGTTCATGGTATGGCTTCTTGTAGCCATAAGTAAGTGTTGGGTGAAGGTGGACACCAAAGATGGACAAGCAGCCCTGAAAAAGGTACAGCAAGCTCTCACACTCGAGGTGCTAGTTCTCCCTGAACACCCCATACACTCACTTATCCAATATAATTAAGATAAAAATTGTATCACTCACTTTGGCATTAAATATGAGTCAATCAGCACTGAAAATAGGACAAAACACTGCATTTTGATTAAGTTGGTGATGTGTAAATCGGCCCTACTTTAGCCATATGTGTGCCTGCCTTCAGTAAGAACTGTGTATTTACACTAATACTAAATCTGCTTATCCTAAATCTAAAATTTTCATCAGAATTTCTAAGACTCCAAGACAGATTCAGGACTATCCCACCTTATATAGTACTATGCTAGATAGGGAGGAATGCATGTGGTATATTCCCCAGTGATAAGAAACCACTACAATAGCAAAGGAGGAAGAAATCTTTGGGATATAAATTTGCAAATAGTCTTGGGAGTTGGGGGTGTGGGAGATGAGGGTTGAGAGGCAGCAAAGTAGAATGGACTGAGTTCTGTACTTGAAGTCAGGAAGATCTAGGTAGGAATTATACTTCAGACACTTAAATAATTATGTTACCTTGGACAAATTGTCTGATCTCTGTAGGACTGTTTCCTCATTTGTAAAAGAAAAAAAAAGCTAATGTATCTACCTTACACAGTGAGTGTGAGGATAAAATGAAACAATTTATATAATGCACTTTTCAAAAATTAATATTTTCTAATTTATATAATTTATATAATTATATAAATGCTATTTATTATTATCAGTAATACCATGTTTTGGCACTTCAAAATGGACGAGTTTTCATATTTACAGTGTCAACTATCATTTAGCCACCAGGGAAAACTGTTTCCCGTTTTTTTAACTTTCTTTTTAAACTCATCATTGCAGCATGTTTACCTACCTTTAGAAACTATGTACCTTTGCTACATTTTTTTTCTTTCTAATCCCTATTTGGCTTTTTCTGTATTAGCATTTTTCAGTAACCCTGATCACTGGCTAACAAATGAATTTTGGTTTGCTATGAAAATTAGGTTTTCCTCTTGCAAAGACACTAGATCAAGAGATCACCATTTTTTGTGTCCTGGACCCCTTGGGGAGTCTGGTAAAGCCTCTGGAGCTCTCTTCAGAACCATGCTTCTAAATGCATAAAATAAAATACACAGGATTTTGAAGGAAACCAATTACATTGAAATACAGTGATCAAAATATTATTTGTTATTCAAACCAGGTTAAGAACCCCTGAACTGGATCATGTGTGTGTGGCAATTATTTTTCATTAGTCTTTCACGGTTTGAGACAGAGTTAACACATTTAAAAACTCTTAGAAACATCATCATTGGTATCAAATGAACAAGGAACTGTCATTTTTGTTCTGGAAAAAAATTAAAATGAGTGTTGAAATTAACTTGAAATATTATGTTAGAAATTCAGGCACTTGGCTTTTATGTCCCCTGAGAAGATGTACATAAGAACATTGTGCAAATACAGAATTTTTCCAACCAAAATCAAACTTTGTTTCACATAGTTCATTTGGAACAAACACCAAACTTATAGCACAATATATACATAAAATATTGTTTAAAGATAAATTATATTTTTATGATTGACTGTTGCTTTTAAGTTTAATTCAGTTCAAGAAAACATTCGTACTCCAAAGTTCTCCCAATACTGTGACACCACTGAAATCTATAGAAAAAAAAATTTCTTTTTTTTTGGTCCCTGAGCTCTTTGAATTTGCTCTTTTCATCTGCATCTACTCCAAATCCTGACCCTGCCCCCAACAATCTGTCTGTCCACCTTCACTCCGAAAACATATAAAAAATAATTTGACATTGTGGAAAGATATACAAACATACATACGTACAAATATATATTTACTTCATTATTCAAATCTTTTTGAAAGAGGACAATATCATTTTTAGATTATATTTATGAATAGGAAAGATCATGACTCCCTCCTTTCCTTCCCCAAATAGACATTTTATTTAACTCCAATCTCATAGTTTGATTCCAAAGTATTTCTAACAGAATGCATTCTATAGAAAACTAGTAGCCAGTGGAGGAAAGACAATTCATAATGTGGCTTCTCCATGTTGGTTTGTTTTTTTCTGAAATACAGAGGACATTCTACACATCGTGGCTATTTTTGCTTTTCTCTTACAGTAAACATATTCAGTATTCCATTGGCTTTAGAGCTTTATGTCTCAGATGCTCCTCTAAACACTGGACTGCAAAAGAGTCAACATCAGTATCAAATTTGTTGGCGAAGAAATGGGGCTGTTGTAGCATCCAGTTTAAATCTCCTACCCCAAAAACACATACAGAGCGGACATGAATCCCACTACATGGTGGATATGGAGCTCCCTTGAAAATGTCTCCTTCCAAGTATTGCCACTTGACAAACCTGGCAATTGCATGCATGTCAGAAATGTCATACTTATTACTGGAAGGAAGTGCACCTGGAACTTCAGGGATTCTTTGAATTGTGGCCCACAAATATTCATCTGGGCTGTATGTATCTTTAGCCCACTCAATAAATTTCAGGATCTTCCCGTTGGTTAGGACATACTCTACATACTTCCTACTAACAACAAAATAGGCACTGCCTGAAAAAATTGGCGTTTCAACAGGAGGACGTGGTTTATCTTTTCCTGTGTTTTTTAGGTTGCCCTCGATGACTTCATAATGCTTCTTCCACCTTACTTCCTTATGGGAAGGCATTTTCTCAGTTTCCAAGCTGTTTCCATTCATTAAAGACTTTAGCTTCCTTATCATTTCCAGATTGGTTTTAATAGGGAAATCCATACCACAAAGATTTATCAAATACTTCCATTCTGAACTCTGTCTGTAGAGATCTCTCATACAGTTGAGGTCTGCTTGGACCCTACTCCATGATGCATACACGACTCTCTCCAATTGACTGGCAATGAAGACGTTATTGAAACAAGATGCAATCCCCTTCACTGCTGCTAAAAAGGATTCAGGAGATTTTTTGTCAACATGAATGCAATAATAATTCTGAGGTGTGTAGATGGTTCTTAGGAGCCTATCAAGCATTTCAATTTTGTGATAAACCACTATTGAATATGCAATGGGAAATTCTGCCTCCTCTTTGCTAAGAGGTTCCGTGATATATTTGCGGGTCTTAATGAAAGCGGTACAGTCTTTGGTCATATTGATGTAATCATCATTTGTCCACCGAGGGAGATGTCTATATTTCACTGTTAGCATTGTAAGCTTCACATTTTGTATTTCTTCTTTGTCACCCAGTATAACTTTGGTGCAATTAACATTATTATATGGATTCTCTCTAGTAAACTCTAAATGTCTGTGATTTAAAAAATCTGACTTTTCATGAATCCTTAAGATAGTGAAGCATATGATTAGGGTAAAAACGAGTAACAGAAAGAAGGGTTTGATCTGACAAGGACCAAGTTTCCTCCTCAACAGCCTCCTCACCATTTCAAATAAAAAAACCGAGGTCCTTGCTTCCTCTGAATGTAGTTTTCTTGTGCTTTGGTCACTATTAATTTATTTCTTTCATGGCTTGTAGAGTTGTCAGTGTACATTTATCAGAGGTGATAAATGGTCATCTTGAAATAGCTGGAGAAAAGCTCTAAAAAAAAAAGCAAATTAATTTTATTGTTGTTTTAAATTTAATTTTAAATTAATTTTTATTTGATTTAATTATTATTTATTGTTGTGTAAATCTGTTCTCAGATTCTATTCTCCTGCATGTGCTATATCATAAACTGAGCTAAGACCACACATTAGCAGTAGCTGCAAGGCTTCAACTCAAAGGTCCCTAAAAACACCACCTAGTAATTTACTCTCCATTGTATTCAGAAAACTCTTACAGGTCTAGGGGCTCTCTGGGTGATATTCGACTAGTGTCAGCAGCAATAGCTCTGGAGGAGGATTCATATGGGTCTCAAGGAGAGCAGCATGTTTCTGTTTTCCTGCTCTAGGAATTTGAGTCTGTTTACCAAACTAACTTAGCATTTGAGATTTCGTTCCAGTGAAAAGTAACCTAACCTGCTAGGGGAGCCCAGAAATGATTTATTTCCAGTGGTTTTTAAGAATAGGGCTCCCAGAAATGTCCTAAATCAGTTAGAGTCTAAAAAAAAAAAACAAAAAAAACAAAACAAAATGAATGAGGTTGAACACGGTATTGCATTCAACTCTACCATTGGTCACCATAGGAGAAATAACATACAGAAATTGCAAGGTAAGGAATTACCTCTTTCTACCTACGATGGGCCCTCAGAAACCACTAGAATCCTCCAGAAAGTTAATAACTTTATACCTCTTTTGTCATTTATGCAAAAACCTTCTCAGTACCCTTAAATTTTGGAAGCCAAACTCACTTTGTGTTTTAAAAGAAAAAAAATTTAATTTCAAAATTCAGTTTTGTACAGTAACTACCAGATACATGTCTAAGTGAATGTGCAAGTGTTTTTTGTTTTTTTTTTTAAACACACTTGCCACTAATCATATGTACCCCAGATATCCAAGATCCTGAATTAACTACAGTGTGACATCAGATTCAACAATGGAATTCCAAGTGGCTGCTGTTATGATGGCGCAGCTGGTGGGCAATTTTTGTTTCTGAATATTGTCTGCAAGTACAATGCAAGATGGTTGTGTAAAGGAGATTAGTTTAATTTCTCTTGCAAAACAAAAGTTAATTGACTCTTTGAGCAGGAGAGTAATGAGGTCTTTGAGAAATTAATTGGACTCTAAGAAGATACCTGCACTTCATGCTGTTCCATGAGGGAACTTTCACTGTAACATTCAGTTCCAGTGGAAGCCAGGCCCATCGAGTCCTGTGATGCCAACTGCAGATGACATTAAGGTGCAAAATTTCTTTCTTGCAATCAGGTTTCTTAACCATGCTGGGCAGCAAGCAACGGCAATGTCACCATCAGGTTTTCTGAAACAAAGACCTATAAGTTCGTAAGACAAAACAACATATAGAGGCATATGGGCACATGGAAGGGCTTTTAACCTCCATCATCTTGGTAAAGAGTGCAAAGTACCTATGTTTTGGGGGGAACTGTGAGATGCCTTGGAAAGAATTCTGGATCTGGAGACACAGAACCTGGGGTGGGGCCCCTGTATGATCTAAACTGCTCTGGGCCCCCTTTTAGTCACATGTAAAACGAGGGGGTTCAATTACAGGCTCTCCAGGGTCCCTTCCAGCTTTAAATCTATGGCAGCCAGGTGGCAGAGTGGATAAAGCTCTGGACATGGAGTCAGAAAGACTTGAGTTTGGATGCTACCTCACATACTTAGAAGATTCCTGACAATGGACAAGTCCTCTGACTACCCTCCCTCAGCTTCATTTTCTCGCCTCTAAAATGGGGATAATAATAGTGCTTATGTCCAAGGGTTTTTCTGAGGATCAGTGGAGATAATATGTGTAGAGTGCTTTGCCAACTTTTAAGAGCTATATAAATGCCAGCCATTATGCTATGACATTGTTCTTTCTTGCTTTCGCTAATTTTCCTGCTGTTCATAATTCTTAATGTGTAGTGTTTACATTACAGGGCAGCTAGGTGTCACAGTGGATAGAGCCACACCTAGAGTTAGGGAGTCTCATTTTCCTGAATTCCTGAATTGGAATCAAATCAAGCCTCAGCTATGTGACCCCGGGCAAGTAATTTAACCCTGCTTGTCTCAGTTTCCTCATTTGTAAAATGAGCTAGAGAAGGAAATGACAGACTACTCTAGTATCTTTGCCAAGAAAAAAAAATCAAAAATGGGGTTATGAAGAGCCGGACATGACTGAAAAATGACTGATCAGTAACAACAAGTGTTTATACAAGCTTTAAGTAAGAGAAACAAAAAAAATGCTAAATTTTAAGTTATTTTACCTTCTTGTAATAAAAAACTCTGGACTGGAAGGCAGGTTATCTGACCTATTTGCTTTTAACTGCTACTTAATTACTAGGGTCTTCCACTTCCATCTCATATACTCTGTTCCCTTGTCCTTGAATTAAGGGAGTTGGACTAGTGATCTTGTGAGTTCCTTTTCAATTTTAGATCTTATAATTCAATGAAACTTCCATTTCTCACCCTTCTCAGTCCAGTCCTAACTTCTTGAAAAGCTCCAAGAAAAAAACAAAAAAACAAATGTTGGGGCAGCTAGGTGGCGCAGTGGAAAGAGCATGGGCCCTGGAGTCAGGAGGACCTGAATTCAAGTCCAACCTCAGACACTTGACACTTGCTAGCTGTGTGACTCTGGGTAAGTCACTTAACCCCAATTGCCTAGCAAAAAACAAACAAACAAAACTGTTGAAATATTTAGAAAAGTGTGTGTGTGTGCATGTGTGTGTGCATGTGTGTGTGTATGTGTGTGCACAAACATGTTAAAAATGAGTAGTAATTTAAAACCAAAACTTACTAGGAGACTATTTAAATATACTTCTATGTTTGAAATGAAAGTAAGCCGAGTGAAAAGTTATGTTTCATTCATGCAATTGGGACCAGAAATGAAAAACACTAAACAGGAAATGTTTTCTCTAGTATCGTGGCTCCTAACCACATGAATGCATTCTTATAAGCAAAATTTTCCTACCAGTTGACAAAAAACAAACAAACAAATGGAAAGAAAAAGGAGACTATTATATAGAGAAAAAGAATTCTATCCAATGTTAACAATACACACAAGGAACAAATATATTAAATGACAGCATTTTGTTTTGTCAAGACTTGAGATTCATCAGCAGAGGGAGTAGCCCTCTGATTAACACTTCATTTTCAATTTATAATGTTAGAGAGTTTTCTGGGGGCAATGAGAAAAGAGGTTAACTCACTTGCCCAGGGTCATATAGTTATTACTGTAATGCTATTTGTTTAAGGTACGACTTGAACCCAGGTCTTCCTAAATGTAAGGGTAGCCCTTTATCCACTATACTATACTGCCTCTTATAGAAGAACAGGTTAAAAGAGTTGGAAAATGTGAATATGCCATGCTATTTTACCATGTCTCCTGATCACTGACATTTATACAATGATCTAAGGTTTACAAAATGATTTAGTATGTAAGGATGTAGTCCATTGAGAGTGCATTTACAACTGGAGAAGGGAGAGCTCATTCCAGATGAGTAGATCATTTTGCTTCTGATAAAGGATGAAAAACTTTGAGTAGCTCACTTGCCTAGAAAAAGTCCAGGACAGCAGCTCATCAGCCTATAGAGACGATAGATTTGTCCTCAGAGCACAGACTGTGTACCTTTTCCACACCCACTTATTTGCATGAACCAACAGAACAGTATCTAAAAAAATCTGGAGAACCCAGAACTTGAGAACTGCATACTGGGCGGATGGTCATTGCCTACTTATGGCCTAGCCTGCAGAGATGAAGATTTGGGAATTATACTGGAAAAGTAACTATAAATTAGGATGAGGTCTCTCACCAAATGGACTCAGCCTTGCATCAAGAAGAATTGCTGAAAGGAGAAGCTTGAGGCGTAAGGGGACCAGATTGCACAGTGACAATCCTATTGACCTCCTTCTTGCCTAGGAGATGAGAGGGCCCAGAGATGAGGCCTCAAGGACTGTGGTTCTACGGCAAGGGTTCTTCTCAAAAGCACAGCAATGCCCACATTGAGAACTGTAGCCAAATCTGAGGCTAAAGGTAGTAGAGACCACAGCTGCCCAATGAAGTTAGTGTGAGTAAGTCTAGAAAAGCCCAACATTTAACAAGATGCTAGAAAACCCACAGACTAGAACAACAGAAGCACAAAATTTGGGGGGAGCCAATCAGGTATACATACCTCAAAGTCATAATTCTGTCTTTGTTTACTTGGGCTCACTCATAAAAGCCTGAGACTTTTTTCTCTGGACCTCATGGAAAATTTGTTTATCTTTCTTTGCTTAAATATGACTTTGTCTTTATAGAGGGTGTTAATCACAGGCCCTTGTTAGTCTGAGTATACTTATTAGAAATGCAGTTTTGAGGAAATAAATGAGAGAAGTGAAATAGATTTGACACTCAAGTGTTTTGTCAGAGTACTAACTCTGGCTGGAGGCTTGAAGAAGAGGAAATGAATGAAGCGATAGAGGAGAGACCAGAAATGTGGCATTTATGCCAGGAAACTCATCTAGGAAGTGAGTCAGTAGTTGGGGGGGGGCAGGGCAAACAAAATTGATTAAATGATAGCTACACACAACATTATTTTAGCTGATCCTCATATTCTCTCTGTGAGATAATATCATCACTTTCTATATGAGGAAACTGAAATAACAATTACAGGGCTATTATCAGTTAAGATTAAGATCTAGGAAGTTTCCTAGGTTCTAATTCAATGTCCATTCCACAAATGACCACATTCAGGATTTTAAAACAAATTCACGTGGACTATAAGAAAAATGTAAACAACGACCCGAGGTCACTGTAACTGGAACCTTTGTTTGCTCACTTTCAATTTCACCAAAGAAGTAAAATTTATGAAGAAAATGGGGGACAGAAGGAAAAAACAAAGAAAGGATAGGGTTGGTTAAAGGAGTGGATAATTGAACAATAAGAAGCGTTGGAAAATTCTCAAACATCCAGAAAAACAGGATCTTAAACAAAGAATATTATTAGTTTACCAAAGGTCACAGAGGCAGAATTTGAGTTGGAAAGGATGTAGTCCAGCCATGTAGTCCAACCCAAACATAAAAAGAATACCCACTATCACATATTTGCCAAGTGTTCATTCAACCTCTACCTGATGACCTCCAAAAATGGGGAACCCACAACCCCTCAAGGCAGCTCATCTCACTTTTGACCTTCTTAAGTTGTTAAGGAGTTGTTCATTTTTTCCCCTGAAATGTAGCCTAAATTTAACTCTTTGCAATTTCCACCCATTGCTCAACTTGGCCCTCTGGGGCCAAGGGAACCTGCAGTTCAAAACAAACCAAAAAACAAAACCCAAGCCCCAGATCCATTTTAGAAATGCCTCTTCCATCTTATACTTGTGTTGCTGCTTTTTTTTTTTTACATTTATCCCTACTGAATTTCATCCACTTAGGGCCCGCTCTGGACTGATACCTCCAAAAGGTTGGGCTCCCCTATATACCTGCAGGTGAGGAACATGTTCTGGGGTAGGGAATGGGGTAGGACTCAGTATATTGAGTCTAGAGAAGCACTGGATGAAGATTAAAGGTCTTCTTCATGTGACAGCCCTTCAAATACCAGAAGACAGCTATCATGCCCCTATCCCTAATTCAGTCTTCTTTTCTCCAGGTTAAACAAGCCCAGTTCCTCCAACCAATCTTCCTGTGTGAGTGAGTCACACAATTTTTATTGTGTTTACATTTAATATTTATTATAGTTATATTTAAACATATTTTATTTATTTTAATTTTAGTTATGTTTATAATATTATATTAATGTTTAATATTAATAATATGTATTATATTTGAGATGTCTTGCTAAGCACAAAAGAAAGGCAAAAAAAAAATCTCTGAACTCAAGAAGTTAACATTCTAAGGAGGAGAAAAGTGCAAACAGCTATGTATATACAATATAGATAGAGAATATCTGAGATATAGATCAAAACCTCACTAAGACTTTTGAGATACTCTGGTCACACACACACACACACACACACACACACACACCCCACAGCATACCCTGTAAATGGAAAACAATCTCAGATGAAAAGCACTAGAAGTTGGAGTATCACAAAAGGCTTCTTGCAGAAGGTGGGATCTGAGGCGAGTCCTGAAGGAGGCCAGAAAAACCAAAAGGTAGATGTGAGTAGGAAGAGCATTCCAGGCAGCAAGTGAAAAGGCAGAGTCAGGAAATGGAGCAAAATGCAAAGAACAGTGAGTAGGCCAATATAACTGGATTATAAAATATGTAAGGGGGAATAACATCTAAGAGGATTAGGAAGATAGAGAGGGGCTAGGTTGTGAAAGGCTGGAGATGATAGCGAACAATCGGAGTTTTTTG